TACCATCTAAATTTCGTGACCCTAATATATATGTCCAGATCATGAGATATCAAAACCGGAAGTTGTGCTGCATTACCAAGACAATCAAGACATCAAGACAATCCATCAAAGCATTCTTGAGTTATCGTGTTTACAAACACACACACACACACCATGAAAAAATAAAGATGGTTGGAGGAATAAAAGAGTAGGTAGTAGTGGTTAATTTGCTATGTCGTGTTACGGGTTCCGTCCTCTGGGATCTCCCATGGCCAGTAGGTGTTAGGTAGTGTGACAGTGGGGAGGGGAGCACGCCGTGCTGTGTTACGGGTTCCCTCCCCTGGGATCTCCCATGGCCAGTAGGTGTTAGGTAGTGTGACGGTGGGGAGGGACGACACGCTGTGCTGTGTTACGGGTTCCCTCCCCTCGGGATCTCCCATGGCCAGTAGGTGTTAGGTAGTGTGACTGTGGGGAGGGACACACGCTGTGGTGTGTTACGGGTTCCCTCCCCTGGGATCTCCCATGGCCAGTAGGTGTTAGGTAGTGTGACGGGGGGGAGGGACGCACGCCGTGGTGTGATACGGGTTCCCTCCCCTGAGATCTCCCATGACCCCGTCCCGGATGTACCCGGGGATGTGAGGAAGGCGATGTGAGCCTCCGTGACCTCCTGACCTCTCGACAGAATCGCATCCGTGACGTTGACGTACGTTCTCACACTTTGGTCGATAGCCTGGGATACCAAACCTGTCCTCAGATTTCTACGGGCTCTTATACCCTGGACATCGATGGCCATTCTGTAAACGCTATCACCCTGGGCTTTGTTCTGTTCAGCTGACCCATATGTGACCATGGATTGTCCAGACCGGTGTCTGTTGGCAGTTGTTGTGACATCCCGGAAGGCCCGTCTGTTTTGGCCCCTGTTTTTGACAACATGAAGCGAAAACCCTGCAGGATCAGCATAGAAAGGCATGGGGCCGCTCTCATCATCTGGGATCTCACTGTAGGTATGGTGTGGGACAGGCAGGGGGCGCTGTGCAGCAGCTCCGTGTTCTGTGATCTCCCAGGATGTGCGCGGGAGAGCCGGCAGAGGGCGCTGCGCAGCGGCCATGTGATCTGGGATCTCACTATAGGTGGGTTCAATGGACTGTAGAACAGCCGGCAATGACCTACAGGATGCCGCATCGTCTGGGGCGCACCCGCAAGTGTTTGCAGGGAGGGAGGCTGACCGGACCATCACGTCGTCGTGCGGGAGACTGGGCAGGGGCCTCTGAGCACAAGCTACGTCATCTGGGATCTCGCTGTAAGTAGGCTGGACGGAATGCAGGACAGTAGGCAATGACCTACAGGAAACCACACCATCCAACGCTATCTTGCCTGAACGTGCAGGGAGGGAAGCAGACCTCAGCAGGCCGGGGAAGGCAACCCCAGGCGGGACGGTCCAAACATGTGCATCGTCACTGTCCCTCTCATCCTCGCTCGTCCCTTTCGAGCACAACTTCAACACCAACACTAGAAGGGACGACAAGACCAGGCCGACCAATGCTGAAACTGCAACAACAGATATGAGAACATGATCTGTTGACAGAGGCATGTCTGGTCCAGATGTGGAACTCGCCTTCAGTGTAGAGTTGTCTACCATTTCTGAAGATGGATAGTATTTCTCTGTATGTTTAGTGTAGTGTGTTAGGCTGACGGAGTGGCCAGTTTCTGTGCTGTAGGTTGCTTTGTGTGTCTGGAGTTGGTCCTGGGGAGTGGTGAAGAACAACGTTGTGTGTTTATCTTTGGTGAGCAGAATGCAGGTGATGTTCTTTGCATGGTCATGGTTGGCGTTTGTGATGGCTGTGTGTGTTTGACCGTATCCAGACTCTCTGGTGGTGAGTGTGTTTGTGTCTTGTGTCTGGACAAACGACATACCAACACCTTCAAAGGTTGAATTTCCTGTGGACAAGGACACCAGTTGGAAGTATGAACTTCCACCTAGGTCCATTGCGATGCCTCCAGCGTATTCCCACACCTGCCTGCACTGCTCAAGTGTGTTGGTGTCCAGTTTGTCTGTCAGAGAGTCGTCAGTGGCCAGGACAACTACAGGGGGCTGGATAGAGATCAAGGAACTTTTCAAAATACCACAAGCGTATGCTGCGGGTCCAATGTTATATGGCACACTGTCAGATGAGTCAAACATCCACCAAAACGAGAATCCAGGGGTTACCCCATTGTGACTGACACAGAAGTGGAACCTGGGCACCACAACAGCCATTGTTGCTGACCCTCTCATGGCATTGGCTAACCGATATAGGCTCCACATCATCTCATGTGGCTTTGCATCATGGACAGATGACAGCATACCACTGCTGACTTGGAGACTTCTCAGCCGAGACTGTCCCCTGAACACATCTTTATCCAAACATGACAGATCAGTACCACTCAGATCTAACCGGACCGGCTGTATGTGTTTGAATGACCTCGGGGAGATGGATTTGATTTCATTCAAACCCAGGTTCATGACCACGATACCTTTAAGTCCAAAGAGCCAAGCAGGGTCTACAGCCTGCAACATGTTGTTCTCCAGATCCAAGAAAAACAGACGGGTTAGGTTGGCAAAGCTTCCTGGCTGTATCTGCTTGATGCAGTTGTTGGACAAAGTCAGCCAGCGGAGATTTTTCAAGCCAGTGAACCAGGTCTTCTTGACATTTGTCAACCTGTTAGAATCTAGGGACAGTGTTTGGAGACTGGAGAACCCAGCGAGAGTGTTGTTCTTCACATCAGTCATCTTTGTATCCACCAAGGCCAAAGTGAGGACCACAGAATGCTCAAGCGGGGTCAGGCTGTTTGCTGACAGGACGTGGAATGGATACCCCCTTATTGCAACATGTTGGGCCCCAGCAAGGAAAGAGAAAGGGCTTACAGGAGCAACACCCTCTTTCAGGACCCCACACATGACACATGTACCCGACACTTTCATCTGTCCCACCTTGCCCTTGATAGGCACACACACCCGCCATCCAGCTACCTTACACTGAGGAGAACCTGGGCCATCTGAAGCTGTGCAGGTAGCTATGAAAAGCAGCAAGAACAACATGGCTGCGTTCTCCCTAGCGCCACTCCTAACCCTTGCATGCATCCTGGCCATTCGTTTCTTAATCTTTCATGCGAGAAGCTACGTGTCACTCACCTGAAGTTTGTGTACTTGGTCCACAGATCTGAACATGTAGTCAGTGACCAACCTTCAGTCAGTTAAGCACCTCCTTTTTTCGTTTTAACAATTTTTTGGTACATACGTGACAAGCTTTACACCGCTTGCCGTGGCGGCGCCTGTATATACTTGTATAGGTTCATAGTGTTATGTTTATGAATATAGCGATTGCCGTATTAGAGTTTGTAATTCTACAAGAGCTGCGCAGAACCATGGTTCCAGATATGCAGACTAATCTTATGAAGTAGCTAATGATTATTAAGTAATATTAGGATCGTTGAACTGTATGTTTTGCTGAAACAATAAACCAATCGGTACAGTGCGTTTGTGATCGTGTTAGATTTATTAAATTTTCTTGAATTGCGTGGCAATCTTGTTCAAATGGTATTTACGACGCGGTCTTACATAGCCGAATATGACCTGAACACTAGCCTGTGTGTTTTGAGGTGTTTATTTGAGAATATCTACTAAAAAGCACCAGGTATTGAGGACTACATTGGGTTATTGAAACATTCCACTTTAAAGAGCACTACATGGAGAAGGTGGATATAGAACTGTCCATTTTGGAATGAGAAGGGAGATGGACTGAAATATGCTGTATTTGCTCCCAAGCAAATGTCTTCCTTTCTAGATTCGTCATTTTCTTTATTCATCCCAAGAGAGGCCTAAAGTGTCTCCTGGCGCTCGTTACAAGAAAGATACGCGTCATTTTCACTTGTAGTGACAAGACCAGGACCTTTAAGTGTTCCAAGCTTGCGTCACATTCGTTAGTAACAGAAGTGTTTATACAGGATGCAACGAATTTCTAAACTGACCAATGAACGAACTATCAACCTCAAAGAGTTTCTCTGTTCTCTCAAGCAAGTGTATGTTATGGAATGAACTAAATTTAAATTGCTCGGCAATCGTATATGGTACAATAATGTATGGCAATAAGGCCAACAACGCTACAAAGCTAATTATAACTCCAAAATTTTATTGACAATATATGAGTTAAAATGTAGTCGTGTATGGATGATTTGGTCTCGCTTTTTGGAATGAAGTTGACCTATGTAGGCAGGTATAGGAGTTGGAATGGACAACGATACTTGGAAACTGTTGCTATTAATATATTTCAAAGACTGGAACTGACATCGAACATTGACACTCAAAAATGATATACATAAAAGTAGGGTGTACAAAAATATATATGAGCATCGGCCGGACTTTCATTGGCTAAAATCACAATTAAATCATGTGATTCTATAGCTTTATGGAACTTTGTTGGAGTGCCATCTCTGCTATAGCCGTCTAGTCACATATTTGTCAAGGAACCTGCAATTCAGCCAAGAGGCTGTGAGAGATTCTTATTTTGAATAAACCATTCATTCATTCACTCATTAATATTCAAAACCTTCTCCTGAACACCAGATGACCAAAGCTGGATGAAGTTCTGGAGCAGTCTGACCAGATTTAGACTAGGGATGCCCCTCGGATAGGACATTAAATGGAGGACCTGTGTTTGGGGAGAGCCACATGCCACACACGTTAAAGAACCCACCACACCTCGAGAACAAGTAGGGGCATGCCCCGGTGTGCGATGGTACAAACACTACTGTATGGAGTTGGTGATTCACTTCAAATCACCCGGACGGAGGCCTGGTGATCCTGTTTCATATCAGCTACATGGTGATTTGCATCATCACCCGGACGGACGCCTGGTGAACCCCATCTTGTACTAAGCTAATGAAAGGTTATATCACCTTGTAAGGGGCGGTATAACCCCGACCTATATGATTGACCAATGATGACATTTGTGCAATAAAGTTATCATATACGACAACCCAAACAAGGAGTGCTCTCTCTTTTTATTACAAGAAGGAATGTCACAAAACATTTTGGAAAACAAGGAGAACATGTATATTTGTATTCACAAAGTCTGGTCTATCCCTTCTGCATAAATCTTACCAAGAAGAATTCAGCCTATAAAAAGGGAAGAGTTCTTATTGATACATGTATTACATAAAGGTTGCTATGGTGATAGATGTGTCAGTTGCTATGGCGATAGATGTGTCAGTTGCTATGGTGATAGATGTGTCAGTTGCTATGGTGATAGATGTGTCAGTTGCTATGGCGATAGCTGTGTCAGTTGCCGGGGTGACAGAACTGCTGCATCATGACGGAGGTCAGGTCCATCAGCTGGAGAAACTCGTCCCCTCCGTCTGCAAGCCGCTGGTCACAAATCTGACAAGGAACGGGTTAGAAATAACAATGATTCGCATGGAAGTTTATCTGTTATGAAAGTACAATGCTGAACTTCATATTCCAACACAAAGGGTACACAAGGATCAAAGTTGCAACAACCACTGTCAAAAGTATATCTCGGCTTTGGAACAGTACTAGTCTACCAAGACACATCACCGACTCTCCCACACTCAGTCAATTCAAGGCTCACTGCAGGAACCACCTTTTGGCCTGATTCTTTTACACTTGAATTTAGCTTTTACCCAAAGTCTCCCATCCATTTCAATTAGTATCTCCACTTTTTTCACATATTGCTGCCAGGTAGGAATGTCTTGATTTTCTTATATTACTACTATGTAAAAATGTTAGCCTTTCTAGGGGAAATTTGGTATGGGGAGGAAGAATGGATGAAATGTGCTGTATTTCCTCTTGAGCAAATGTCGGCCTTTCTAGTGTATTATAGCACTGTATTTTGTAAGCAGTTACGATATGTTATGTTTATTTCAGGTCTTGTATTTATAGTAGATTTCTTTATTTAATGTTTGTCTCCACGTTTGTATTTGTGGATTATCTGATACCAGTCACCACTGCCTTGATAGCCTGTGTATTGATCTGTTGTCATTGCCAATAAGGAAAGAAAGAAAGAAAGTAAAACCAGTAGAGTTAAGGTTAGAGACATGTGACCTTATTCATGTGAGGCTTTGAGCACATCGGCAGAACGTACTGCACCTGTGCGAAACCCGTAGTGTATTATAGATAGCACTTCGGTAGAATGTCTCATATAAGGTCGTATTCGCGCATATAAGGTTAACATCTTGTCCGTAGTTTCCAAATGTTATGTTGGAAAAGATATCCTCTGCAACAGGCAAAATTCTGATGCAACGTTGACCAAAAATCCACCGCAAAGCGTGAAAATTTGGGGTTCTGCGCAGGCGCAGTACGTTCTGCCGACGCGCTGAGGCTTTGTGGGTACTAACTAAAGCACAGCTGAATCATGGTACATGTAATTTGTAAGGGTTCTTGACTTACTGCGATTTTTTCAGCAATGACTGACTTCTGCTTGTCTGTTAGGTTTTCTCTGGGCAATACTTCATCATGGATCTGAAAAAAAACACTGCAAATTACTTTAAAATCTGTATAGTCATCTGCTACTTTACAGAAGAAATCAGATATTTTAATGCTCAAGGAAGTATTTTTGAGAATTTATTGGTGCAACCAAAGAGATGGTCTAATGCACTTTCAATTGGCTTAGTAGCTTAAAGTGGGTGGAGCCATCACTTCCTCCCAGCATGCTAGCCATCATTTCCTTACAACTTGATCTTTATGTCAATCTACAGTAACCTTATTAGTTTATTGCATTCCTTTGCCTACTAACACAAGCAAACAGTATCGCACCTACAATGTAAACAATACCGCTGTAAAAAGGGTTAAGGTAGTCTCATAGCCTTTATGTGAGGCCAGTAGGGACAGTGGGTTGTTAATTGACTCATCATCATCAATATCATCATTGGCAGTCCAGTCTCGGAAGACTATCTTGTCGCCACCCTGGGAGTGCATCGTCTACTGTGGCTGTAAAGTCCGATTAATTGACTAGTACTAGTATATTTAGTGCATAGTATTGGAAGGCAGAACCCATCCCTCTCCTTTCACTGCCTTTTACCTCCCCAACCAAAGTTAGGGACCCATTTCACACCTGGGTTAAGTGAGTTAAAATTGCCAAGGCCAGAATTGATCTGTAACATGGCAGGATTTAAACCTGTTGATTACCTGTTGGTTCTGAGCCTATTCCACACTACCTCACCCCTGGACCTAGAAGAAAACATACCAGGCTGTGTGCCATTCTCACCTGCAAGATGACCTGTCCTGCTGAGTAACCTTCTGCTTTCAGATCCTGTATAGTGAGAATAAAGAAATGAAAAAAAAAGCAAGAAAATCATAATTATGTTTCACAAGTATAACAAATACAATAAAAGATGTCAGACGTGAAATGTACGCAATTCTTGGCTTCTTGTCACTTTTAAATGAATAATGCTCACCAAACAACCAAAGGCTTTGTACGATAAAATCACATTCAAATCTGAGATTCACAAGTACTGAACACACTCAACCAGTACAAACAAAATCAGACTACCAAAACCAAAATCCAACTCTCAGAAAAGGCGCTTCCTGTACAGAATGTCACAATTGTGGACCAATGCAGGCGGCAACTAGCAAAGTACAATTGGACTGTAAATAGTGTATTTAAGGGATTGTGTTATGTTTGCTACATTGTACATACTGTTAACTATGTAATGTTTTTGTACATTCCTCTTCAATTATGAAGTAATGTGTAGACCACAGGAAGAATAGCCTCTTATGAGGCTAATTGTGGTTCTAAATAAAACTCAAACTCAAACTCCTGACTGATTTTTTCAATGTTGATCTCCAATATTCCTGCTGCCTTCAGCAGGATTCTGAAGCCTTTGGCCTTCTGTTATTTTGCCTGTCAATCTTCCACCTACCCACTTGGGGTCAACCTACTTTGGCTGGACAGATACACAAATGGACAGCTCAGCCACCCAAAATGATACTTCTGTACCCAAAAGTAAATCTTATGACTGTACATGTATTTTAGCTTCCTAAGAGTAACACCAAACCATCTTTTAATGGTTTGAACTGGTTTAAATTCTTCAAGACGATATTGCTGCAATGACTGTGCACTACTGTACCTTAATGTCTGAAAGAAATCTAGAACTTACCTTGACAGATTTCTCAAGTTTTTCGTAAGAGTCAGAGTAGCAGGTCTGGATCAGCTGTGTGATCATGTCCTTTGGGATGACCTGTTGGGGTCAATATTATTTCAGGTCATGGGTTGGCTTTAGGAAGGGCATCCAGCCGTAAAAATCTTGCTCCAAAAAAAGACTTGCATTTGATGCAAGCAAGTCTAACCCCCGTTTCGGGGAAAAATGACGTTAAAATTGGATTTAAAAAAAAGTTAATTTTTAACATATTTGTGACGTACGGGTTAAGGAAAATGAACATGTTTATGGAACATAATCTTCACAGTGGCGGCAAGTGCAGGGAGAGGATGAAAGACCAATGATTTAACAATGTTGATGACAAGTTCACGGTACAGAAGTGGCTGTGAAGACTGAATATAAAAGTACTGTGAAGAAAGCAGGAACTAGAAAGGAAACATTTTTAAAACAAATACATGTGTACATTATGTTTACCTTCACATGGTCTAGCCCAACAAAATACTGCTCTGTTTATTCTTACTATAATACATCCAACTTGTTATACATGTATATAGAATAATAATGTTATCCAACACCAGAGGGTGTCTTATACTGCAGCAGTTACCATGGTGACAGCCGTCTGGTCCAGGTCATTGACCTTAATATGTGTTTGGAGAAGAAAAAAATGACCAAATATGTTTTCCCCTTGTGAAGCTGGGTAAACAAAATTACAGTACTCACCCCAGTGATCTCCAGAATGTCCTTCTCTGTGACAGCATCCTCCCCCTTCAGTCTGTGAGCACTCTGCAGGTATGTGATGGCTTTCCTCAGGTCTCCTTCACTGGTGTCTATCAGGGCAGTTATAGCCTGGGAGGAGGACAAGAAGACACAATCCGTTACATTGATAAAATAATATGTTGTTGACTTGTTTAAGATTTGATCCACTCACACCAGGGTGGATCACAGGTCTTTAATTTTTGGCGACGCCTCAGAGGGGAGCCTATTGGTACAATATTGTGTGCAGTTTGCAAGAATTCAAGGAATTGTACAGGAATTTTATCCACAGGCATGGAATGTCCACAGGAATGTCTCATAGCTCTGGAGTTTTGCTGACACACATCTATGCCCACAGTCCTACTTAGTGAAATTCCTGGAAACCCTTGGGACATTGTAGATGCTCATTTACTATACGCTAAGGAGAGATTTTGAGTGAATATATGTCATATGTTGCCAAAAAAGTAAAAAAAAAAGGATTGGAAAACGATTACTAATGTCATAGAATGCCGCAATCAATTCAGGAAAAGAAGAAAATGTGAAGAAATGAAAATGAAGAGTCTATTATTATTCGCCATGCCGTACTCTGTGTGTTTACATTTGTTCAACCTTTATGACCACATAGATTTAATAATGAAGTAACCTTTTTTTGCCAAACTTTTTTTTTCATTCGCATGCTCGCATCAGTTTCGTGGTTCCCAGAGGATGTCATCCATATAATCAAACTAACATGGCCTTACTTACTTACAAAATCATCACCAGTTCTGACTTAACATGAAGACGACAAAAGGCAGGACAAAATCAAATCTGTATCAGCTGCTGTTGACTAACTCTACCTTGTCCTCAGCATTGACCTTCTCCGCCTCGGCGATGTGCTTGAGTCTTGCCTGCAGGATGTCGGATGACAGAGGCTTGAAGCGGAACTTTGAACATCTGGAGGCCAACGGCTCAATAATTCTGCAGAAAAAAACAACCAGAAACATATCAAAACTAGAAAGGTAACATTTGCAAAGCAAATGCATAATGTTTAAGTTCACATATGGTCTGCTCTGTTAATTCTTACTCAAACACATTCATATATATGGTGCCAGGAGTCTAAATCCCTCCTGCTATAAAATTGCGACATGATATAACCCAAAACTAGTTACCATGGTGACAGACATCTGGTTCAGGTCATTGACCTTATTGGTTTGGAGAAGAAGAGGAAACAGAGCAAAAACAATTATATGCTTTCTTTGGGTAAACATAAAGACATCAGAGATTTCTGGCTTCCAGTTTGTTGGTTTTATTAGGATCTTTATTAGTGCCACATAAATTTCATACTGTGTCTTTCTAGAGTCTACCAGGGTGATGATGTAAATCACTGTGTTGTTAATATGCGACGTGAGTTTGCTAGGCCTCCATCAGGGTGATTTTTAGTGAATTACTATTGTAAGTTCCGTATACTTAGCAGACAAGGAGGCCAGACGATGAGTAGTGTGGAGCTGAATCTATTCTGCTGTAGACAATACACAGCTTTCCATGTGCTCTAGTTCACCTCTGACCCCGGGTTGGCCCATACCATTCCAACCCGGGGGTGTTCTATTTCAGCTACTTACACTCTTCCCCCCTTACATGAAGAAAACTTCTCCTGAAGTAAACAGCTTATAATACTGTATATAGGTTAACATAACAAAATGCAACAATAGTAATGGAAAACGGTCCGTATCAGTTAACGAATGAAACAGTAGTAACGTTACAATTATAGATTCTACTGAATAAAGCTGAAGTCTATAGATCCATAAAGCTGATCCTGCTAGGTGTCAGGAGACACGGAACGAACACTAGTACATAGTGATAGACATCAGCAAGTATTACCGTAGGCTATAAATACGCAATGTTGCTTGACATCTAAGTAACAGGAAGGCATAAGAAAAGAGTACAAATAATGTTTGCTCCTAGCGAGCTTCTTATATGCCACATGTACTTTCTACTCATGTAGTCCTGTTCAACAGTCCTGTACATGTTTATCAGTCCGCACTGTACAGCATTATCAGTCCACATCAAAGTCGTTGTATCGCAACGGCGGCCGCACTGCACGACCAGACCTCGTGCTTTGTTGAGCTGGATGGCTTCGCGGTTGCGCGTGTACAGGGGGTGCGTCATTGACGGGCTGAGCTGTATTCTCTGGAAGCGGTCTGTTGGCGGGCTGAGCTGCATTCTCAGGAGGCGTGTGGCACTGCTTCAGTCTATTGTAATGGACGACCTGAGTTTTGTGATTGGTTTCATTCTCGATGCAGTGTTTAAACCCGACTGCCGCACATCCCTGACCACATATGGTCCCTTCCACTGAGGCTGGAGTTTCTTTCGCTGCTTCGTCGGATCGTGTAGCCACACTCGGTCACCAACTGCATACGGCTTGTAGCAAACGGTGCGATCGTACGCCGCTTTTTGTCGGTCACTCGCTTGCCGTGTGTTTTGTGTCACGTGGGCGAAGGCGGCGCGGAGGCTGCTTTTCAGGCTTCTGGCGTACGACGTGGTCGAATTCGTAGCTGATGTGGCATGTGGTGTCGTGTCGAAGATCACGTCAGCGGGCAGATTTGCTTCCCTCCCATGTACAAGGTAGAAGGGAGTGTAGCCAGTAGATGCATGTATGGACGTATTGTACGCCAATAATATGTGCGGCAGGTGGTCGTCCCAGTCGTCGCCGGTAGACGAAACATACTTGGAGAGCATGGACTTTAACGTTTTATTAAAACATTCCACGAGTCCGTCCCCTTGGGGGTGATACGGTGTTGTACGGCTTCTGGCAATACCGAGCGTCGTGTACAGCTCTCTCATTGTCTCCGCCTCGAATTGTCGACCTTGGTCCGAGTGTAGGGACCGGGGTACTCCATGTTCCCGGATGTAGTGTGTAAAGAGCACTTGTGCTACAGTGGCGGCATCCTGTCGCGCCAAGGGATAGGCGTTTGTATACTTGGTGAAGAAGTCTTGTACCACTAGACAGTATCTGTTACCCTTTTTCGACACAGGGAGTTCTGTTAAGTCCATGGCAACCTTCTCGAAGGGCTGGCTGACCTTTATGGGTTGCATGGGCGCTCGGGCGGAGGGTGTTGGTGTGGCACGGGTGGCGCACTTGGTACAGGAACGGCACCAACGCTTTACTTCCTGGGTCATCCCCGGCCAGTAGAACCTGATATAGACCCGTTGGAGCGTCTTTGTAGGACCCAGGTGGCCGGAACAGGGACCGTTGTGAAGTTGTTGGAGTACTGTCGGGATGAGTGGTTTGGGTAATACTCGTTGGTGGAGGATACGACAGCGAGCGTTCGGTCGCCAGCGGCGACAAAGCAGTCCATCAGTCACTCGTAAGGTGGAGAACTGGTGCCATAGGGCCTTCAGAAAACGGCCACGAGTATGGACAGCAGCATACGGCGGTCGTCGTCCGCGTTGTTTCCAGCGGAGCACCTCAGCGATGTCAGGGTCTGCTCGTTGGGCCTGTTGCAGGGTGGACAGGGTGAGAGAGTCCGGAGCAGCCTGTGGTTGGTCCACAGCATTGACGGAGGAATCGCTAGTGGCTGGGGTCGTCGACAAGGGTGCTGGTTTTGCTGAGTCCTTGGCCGCAGTGTCAGTAAGTGGCTGTTGTGCAGCATGTTGCGATGCAGGGGTTGGCCGTGGTGGTGCCACAGCCGTAGCCTCGGGCTGTCCTGCGTTGGCTGTCCTCCCCGGTGTTGGTCGTCGAGACATGGCGTCAGCGTTGTTGTGAGACTTGCCGGCCCGATACGTGATGGTGAAGTCATATGTGGACAATTCAATCGCCCATCTGGCACGTCGGCCGGTCGGGTCAGTGGAGATAAGGTTGGGGCTGAGGCCGATCAGGGGCTTGTGGTCAGTGACAACTGAGAACGACTGTCCCGCCAAGTAGGAATGGTAATGGCGGATGCTCCAGACCACGGCAAATAGCTCTCGATCATATGTGAACCAGTTTCGTTCCTACTTGGTCAATGTTTTGCTTGCATACTAGATGACACGTTCACCAGACTCGCCCGGTTGTGTCAAGACGGCCCCGATAGCAGAGTTGGACGCGTCCGTGTATAGGATCAAGGGAGCAGTGAAGTCCGGGTATGCCAGCACAGGTGGGGCCACCAAGGCAGCCCGCAGGGTTTCAAACGCTGTCTGGCATGCGTCATCCCAGACAAAAGCAACGTGTTTCCTTGTCAGGGCTATCAGGGGGTCTGCGATGCGAGCAAAGTTCTGTATGAATTTGCGGTAGTACGATGCCAGGCCCAGGAAAGCTCTGACTTCAGCCGTTGACGTTGGCGTTGGCCACTGCTGGACTTTCTCTGTGTTGGTCGGGTCAGGCTGAATCCCTGCCTGGGAAACAATGTGGCCGAGGAAACGAACCCGCGGCTGGGCGAACTGGCACTTCTTGGCATTCAGTTTGAGATTGGCGGCACGGAAGCGTCGGAAGACCTCTTCCAAGGTGGTCAGGTGTTCCGAAAATGTCCGCGAGAAGACAATGACATCGTCCAGGTAAGCCAAACACGTCTGCCAGTCTAAGCCAGCGAGAAGCAGTTCCATGAGGCGCTGGAAAGTGGACGGCGCGTTGGTGAGGCCGAACGGCATGACCTTGAACTGGTACAGACCGCGTCCAGTGGTAAAGGCGGTCTTCTCACGGTCGTCGGGATCGATGTTCACCTGCCAATAGCCGGACGTCAGGTCAAGGGTTGTGAAGAAGGCGGACCCGGCCAACGCATCGAGGACGACATCAGTACGTGGGAGGGGATGGGCGTCCTTGACCGTTGCTTGATGTAGTTTGCGGTAGTCAACGCAGAACCGAAATGAGCCATCTTTCTTCCGAGCCAGTACTACTGGAGAGGCCCAGGGGCTTTGGCTTGGTTCTATGACGTCGTCCGCCAGCATGGTGTCCACCTGTCGATGAATTTCTGCCTGACGGTGGAGAGGTGTGCGGTGTGGTCTCTGTTTGATGGGCGGACAATCGCCCGTGTGAATGCGGTGAGAGGTGAGATTAGTCCGGCCCCTGTCTCTCGAGCCGGT